CTGTGGCTTTGTAGACAGACATCTTGATCAAAAGGAATATTTTATTCCCTGTCGTTTACTGTATCAACAGCAGATCAATTTGTGGATTTGGTTCTTTTGAAACTCAATCACTTCATACTGCGCCGACCATCTGAATATTCCTCTCGCGTGTTCCAGTTAACAGCTGTCGATAAAGAAATAATTGAACTGCTTGAGACAGTGACTTACAGGGCCTGATTTTATCACGGCAGCTAATGCACTTCCCAATTCTGCTATGATTCTAAAATATAAAATCTAGAATACTCACTCGATGCTGCTTTTGAGCAAGTTGATATACGGCAGCAAGAAAAACATCGTCTGATCATTATGCAACTGAACAGCGCCAACGAAATCCAATTCGTCCAGATATATGGATGCAAAATGCAGTTTCAAACCGCTTGGATAGCCAATTGATTCAGAGGAAAGAACAGTTTTACTCATCATATTGAATACTTTCGATATAACTTTCTTCTTCCAGTTCGACTGCTTTAGCTGAATAAGCATTGACCTGAAGATGCGACGAACAAGCTGAAAATACTGGAATAACCAGAGGCAAAACGCTATAAAGCTGTTTACAGTACCATCATAAACTTGTTCATCCGCCACCGATCGATTGAATACCACTCTAGTCCTATCTGTTTGAAGAAAACGTCATAAAATAGCAGTTGCTGTTTGACTGGACTGAAATACGCTCCCAAACCACCAATTTTATCAGCAAGCTCTTCTTGCATCAACGGCTTGTCTTGCATCCAAAAGCAGTAATATAAACCTTGCCAGAGATTCACAAAACTACTCCTGTTTAAGACTAAAATGAATAAGTGTGAAATACAAAATGTCTGAAACAAATACTAATCAAAAACTATGGTCACAAACAATGACAATTCAACATTCTGTATCGCAACAACGTAATTAAGTCAAAATTAGGCATAAAGAAACTAATAGCTTCAATAACGTTAGTTAGGCGACAAATACAAGGTGAAGGATAAATACAAAGAATAAACTTGTCTTAAGTATGCGACAAGAACAGAACAGCAACGCTTTCACAAGGCAGTGCATTCGTGTCAAAGGGCAAAAGTAAAATCATGGGTAACGAAAGTAAAGATCAGCTTTACTCAGAAGAACCTTTTGACAGATCAGTTGTATGAAGTATCGATATTTTGATCAAATGTCAGCATATAAATGAACTGAAAAGAAAAACGCGGACGATATGTAACAGATCGAGAAGGCCAAAAAACCATTTTGTGGAAAAGCCAAAGGAACATTATTTGGCAAATCAAATCATTCTGGGCAAATGAGGGCCGAACTGAAACCTCACTAACTGAACATATTCACAACGAAAAGATGTTGTCTTTCATTATATTAGCTTCTTTGAACTTTACAGATCCCAGTAAAAAGGAATTTAAGGTGACTGCTAGTAAGATATGTTGGATTTAGAAAGGTAAATGCGACTGATGATATATCAGCGATTTCCGACAAATACTACAATAATTACAGTGTCCGATCTTGCACTGTTCTTGAATCCATTCCTGCAGATGTTTAAGCGCCCTGCGTCGAATGTTCGAATCAGCGCTGGACAACTTCTGCGCGAACAAGCGTTCAAAAGCTCCACAATCCATAAAAAATCTGAAAGAACTTTAAAAAACTTTTTTCGCCCAACCACAACTTTTTCGATATTGCTTTTAAACAACGGGGAAAACAGAGCAGATGCTTCAAGAAAAATTTATTTCATCCATATTTAATTTTAAAGAAGACTTTCTGAGAAAATTCATGGCCATTAATTAACATGCATGCCAAATATGCATTAGGAAACTTTCTTAATTATCAGGTTAGACAGTTGCGCATAAGGTGATTGATGGATTTTCGCGGCTTCGCTCAAAATCGACAGAAAACTATCGACCTGAACCGAATCTGACAACAGATTGAACAAAAACTGTGCGGAAAAACAGAACAGCTGAACGTCGATGATTTCCGTCTTCATATATCTGCTGCACGCAAAAGCTCGCCTAAATTAAAATCGCATAAGCACACAGCAGAAAAATACAAGACAGCGTTACAGCGAATCGATAAATGGGTCGTCGGTGACACTCAGAAAAAGACAGGTAATGCACCACGTGCCATAAACTTTGTTATCATGGCTTATAAATGACGGCAGCGACAGTATCATCCAATCGCAGACTACGAATAGCGTTTCTCTGTGGTACAGCTCTTTAACCAGCTATAACAATATAATCAGCTATCACAAAATTATGCAGGCGTCATAACTACCTTTATCAGAATATTCATGTATATAATTGGCTGTGTAACATGAACATCAAGGAGCTGCTGGATTACCTTGTTCATAACGTCCATTGGAGAGAAGAAGGCAGATAAGAATGATGGAATGAATGAATAAATGATCTGCGGGATGACGGAATCGAATTCACTAATGCTAAAGACGCATGATTAGTTTTAGTTTAGACAATACTACACAGCAATCCAACTGTTTAAAATAGTGTAATATAAAGAATCAAGCTTAAGAATAAGGATCATTCTACTGGCAAGTTGTTTCTCGTAGGAACAATAATAGAAAACGTGAAATTACTTAATAAAATAAGCTTCTAACTAAGAAAGATAAAGCCTTTACTTACCTGTTTCAGCTCTCTATTACATTAATAAGAAAGCTGATAAATACTTAAGTAAAGATAAACTTTCTGATGACCACATAAATGCATTAAATAATGCTATCAATTTTAGCATTACCACTAGCGACACGCGCATTCAAATTGAAACGATACAAAACAATCAAGTTAATGCATTCCGTAAACCAGAAAAGGCGACTTGCGAACGGTGTTCAAAGGAATTCGACCGGTGTCCAATAAGGATGGAACTCGGCCCCTCTTTCTCCAAGACACAAAGGGTGTGCCACTGGCAAATCAGAATGAACGCCTCAAAAGATTGGCAGAACCTTTCCTTACTTCCTTTTTATTGGGCAGCTGTTGTCGAGATTCATCCCCTTCAACTTTAACCTCTTGCCAGCACTAGACTGAAGGGGCTATTTGATGCTTGCATTAACTCGCGCGAAGCCCGGTTAAAAGACTCAACGGTACGTTATTGAATTATTGTACTTCCATCGAATACCAAGTAGGTTTCTTGAGCTTCTCGACGAATTAGAGTTCCTGGAATACTCCTACAGACGTTTCTGCAAACAGAAAATATCCTGATGGCATTCCAGACGCTTTTGAGGATGCTTACATCTGAACCCGGTCTCACTGGCTCAGAGCAATTCTTCCGCGGAACAAGATGCAAACACGCTATTATGATTTATGACAGTTATCAAATCCATGAAATGTTTTTTTTCTCACTATTCAGCAATTTTTTAAAATGAATCTGGGTAGACAGAATCTATGCTTATTTTATTAATACGGAACAGACATCATTTCGTTGCTTCAAGAAGAACTACGATGAAAGAACCTTGTGGCAAACCATAAAACTCCCAGCCAAAACTGAAGTTCTAAGTGGCCATGAGATCAGAATAAGGAAATGAGTACTTACAGTCAAAATCATAACAGAATCGAAAACAGAAGCTACCATTTGTATGGTAACTACTTCAGCGCTTACGCTGCTTTGCTGCAATTTTCTGGATAGCCTGTCACAAACAGCTCATTTCTCATCGTAGAAACGCAGCAAATATATAACCCCTGTGATCACCAGTTGTTAAAACACAGTTGAATAAACAGCAAATATTCTCTTGTTACGTTTATCGAAATCGAAATTGCTTGAAGACAAGAAGTCATAAAAAATATACCACTGCATGAAGAAATCGAAACTTTCCATTGCAGACACGTAAAGCTGAGGATCGCTAGACGAAGGTGAATCTGAGTCTGGAGTCGAAGCCATTGTTGAGCTCGGCCTAGTTCCGGCTAAAATTCGAGTGAATGAAAGAAATGTTTTCTCCGCAAAAAATACCTGTATAAATACTGGTCAAGAGAAGGTCGATGCTCTGCAGAAAATTGACAGCAGGAAGATCTTTTGCTCTAAACCATGTTTAGTGCAATTTGCGAAATAAGAAAGTAATTTCTCAACCTTCCAGAGAAACTTTGAATCAGCAAAGCCGAATATCTGGGTTGCAGCGACGACGTAACCATCAGCGACTGAAAACCAGAACAAACCGCTCTGACCAAGCAACAAGAACAACGTGCGTCAAACATATCGAAACATTTCTGAATAGAAATCATCTGAGTGCTGCACTCTACATTTAAGTGAAATACCTCCAAGAATTTTGATGAAAATGATTGCCTGGAATGAATGTCATTGGAGTTACGAATCATCAAAAAAGCGATGGCGCATAAAAGAAGTTGATGATCAACTGAACAGTTCCTTCAAGTCGACAAGAATAAAATGCTGCTTTAAAAATCTCTTAAACATGAGACAACTTACTCAAACAAGGTATGGAAGTCTTTCGAAGTCAACATAAAGTTTGACAGGATATATTCATTTAGAGTAATTGCTAATGTAAGACCTTCATCAGACGTGAACGCCTGCAAGACGTACAGCAAGCCTTTAAGAGTGGCCATGCGAACGGGAAAAAACAAATGATGAATTCCAAATTCTGACAGCGACAAAACCTCTTTCTCATTTTTAGTTCCATTCTTAATGAAGTCAAGCATTAAACAATTACGCGTGACAATAATACGCACGATTCCGAGAACAGCTAGTGATTTTAGAAGTCCATAGATCAGCTGAGGCAACATGAGTTCATCATCAGCTCCGCGGTCGTGAAACAGGAACAAGAATTTCTCCCTCATCCATTCGTACTGACTCGGTTCACAAAAAAGGTCAGATAGAAATAGAAGCTGAAAATAAATCGTATGACAATTGTGCAGCACGAAAAAAAGAATCTACCGAATCTGTAGTACAATACAGCAGCATCAACGAGATTTCATTTTGACTTCCGACAAACCAGTGTTCGAATAAGTCCAGAAGGAAATGTAAACACGAAGCCACGTCAACAGTGAACTTTGTTAATGATGAGCTGAAACTTTTCCTCCAATGCTGCATTCCACTCACCCGCTCTATGCTCGCTTCAACATTTGATAGATGCATGGAAGAAACTTGTTTTGTAAAAAATTCTTCGCTCTGATGCACATCATTTTCATCGTCCTGGACGCTTGATAAGAGACTTTTCTCGGTATCAAGAACTCCTGAGAGTGCCCAGAGTAATTCAAGAGAAATCTGACCAGAAGAATAAGTGCAGCTCGTAGTCAATGGAAATTCACTGTTGTCGTCAAAAGACAGCAGCGGCATAGCGAACCGGCTAATAACGGTTTTATTTAAAGCATTGTTGATCAGAATCTTCAAGTGTGACAGTTTCATGAGAGTCCTAAAACTAGAAACTGTTACAAACGTTTGCGCCATAACATGACCAACATTGATTTTTTCCAGTTATGCTTAAATCGTGGAACCGTCACGTAGGTGGAGAGCAAAGGGTTGCCTGGCACCGGATTTAGAGTAGTTTCTAACAAAAGGCCACAAATACATTTTACCGCAAGACTGCTGCTTAAGACTCGTTCTGAAACTTCCTGCCAACAACGATTCATTAGGTATATTAGGAACATTATGTGAGAAAAAGAATAACCTGCGGAGAATTCCGAAATAACTCCTCGCCAATTGGTGTAGAACTCAAGACACCTAACATTGTCATCCATAATTCTTCAAACTGTTGCTGAGAAGACCATCCTTAAAATCAGCAAAAACTTTCGACAAACAATATAGATGTAAAACATGCCTATTAACATAACGCGATAGATAAAATCCTTCATAACATCGCAATTTTGAAGAAGTCGAACGGGAACCACTGGAAACAGCGAATAGCCACCAGCAACCTTCACTTCCGGAATCCAGCCATATTTGAACGCCGAAAAAGGAATAGAACAAAAACTAGAAACGGCAGGAAGTTGGCATATTCCTTAAATTTAACATGGTGAGTGAACAAAACCATAATGAAAATGAAAACAAGAAATGAACAAAGGGCGATCGATATAATGAAATTACATGGATATAACAAGCTATTGCACAAGGTCATGAGTTAGAAAGAAAATGCAAATTTTCTGGGCTAGAGAATCAGCAAAATGATTTTGTTACTTTCAATAATAATAGTAACAAATGCCATAATCCACCTTTCAGTGAATGTAAAACGTAGACAATGTCACTAAGTCAGATTTTCCAGTATTTATCATTCAAACGTGTAGTGGAATGTCCTACTCTTCTTGCCCAAGAGTAGTCCTTATCGTTTAGAGAGAGTAGACGATAAATTTCATTAAGATTCATTTAGCTTTCGGCAAAGACCGAATGTTTCGTTAAACGCGAACGCACGGACATGTGGAAACAACTTGACGCTGCGAGATTCACTAAAATGCTTCATGGACATATTCTGTATGCCACGCGTAGTACCTGACAAAGGAATCAAAAGACATACGTCTCCTCTTCAGCAACAAATCAACTCACGAACTCCACTCGGACATGAATTTTGATCAAATCTGACAGGATGGAAATATAAATTGACGAAGGCCAAAAAACACGTGTTTTGCTCCACTGTACTGCATGACAAAACTTTTTATTATGCATTTTATGCCAGGTAGCTGCAGGATTGTTACTGTTTTCGCTATTTTGCTTAGGAACAGTTCCCAACGACCTCATGAATAAACGCTATGTGAACGTGAGAGGGCATCACTACTGAGAGAAAAAACTTTTTACTTCTGCCAAATAATGATGTATACTCTGTACGCCTACGCCCGTCTGCAGCGACTGACTGGTCTTTCTATGCTGTTAGTAGACTGCGAAATATAACGAAATCGTGTGCTAGTTTCATCGATTGCCGTGAATCTATGAATCGGCTTTTCCTGCCCAGGAAACACTTTAGCGAACTGCGTTAAAAATGAGGCACTAAGTGGAAAAACACGGGGCTGCACTATGGGTATAATACAGTGACAATGTGCAGTTGGAACAAGGCTGCACTTGATATGCGACTGCTGCAGTCCTGCTAGGCCTAATTTAACGACTAAGTAAATTTACTGTCTAAGTGAAACAATTTCAACACTAAGTGGCGTTAGTACCCTTCCACAAGGAAGCAACAAGTCTGTTTAACACGAATCAACAAATAGCGTCATTTATCGTTCGTGACTGATCCGATATTAATATATCTAATTACTTCTAACATTTTCTCAACGTAAAATCCGAGACGTCGAAACAACAGAATTTATGCAAGGGTTAAATATTCAATATTGACTTTTCAGTGCGCACGCGTTTTGAAACAGGTAGTAAGTCGGTGATTTGTGAGTGATAGGAATAAGATGCTATTCTAGTCTGATCATACCAGAATGGATAAGGAGTACGGCTATGCTGGCTACTACCAGTGCTTCTTGTAACTGCACTTTCTGTGACCCACCTGATAGGTCACTATCGAATGTAATAAGTAGAATGATGTATAATGACTTCTTTTCTTTTCTTCCTTCATCTCGAAGATTACCTATCATTATGTTTGAAATTTTACCATATGCAGCTCTGTCCAGGCAAATACATGCAGTGGCACTTTACAAGAAAAGGCCATATTAGAAGAAAAACTCCCGTAACGCGAACATATTTATACTTTAAGTGCCGACGCGAAAGACTCGTTGATAAGCTTTCCATTCAAACTGCAGCTGCTCTAATTCGTGAAGTCGCAGCCTGCTTAATCTGGTCCTTCTGCGTGACTAATCAATGGGTGGTGGGCTAAAACTTTTTCTTTATGCGGCATCTGAACTCCATCAAATTTTTACACACGAAGGTAAAATTTAAATTCCTTTAAACAATAAAAGTGCTTTACGATACAGTGCACAGCTGTGAAAATATACTGCACAAAATTTAACCGAACTTCACATGTTGGATCAACGGCAACAACATAACCTGGAATGTCTTCACTCGTTAAATCAGAGGCCAAATCTGGCGAATGCATATCATCATTTTTGCGGTTGAATGGTTCCATTAACTAATAAATTTAAAGGAAAATGCCTTCTGCTGTCTATGAGCTTCGGCTCTATCTTTCAGGCGGCCTATCGGCTAACCGTTTAAGCGTTTTAAGATGAAAATAATGGATTATTTTCCGTACAGTTCAGAAGTTTCATCTTAAACAGCACCTAAGGCGGACAAGTAAACAATGATAAATACATGAATTACTGCAATTTTTGTATTAGACAGTTGAAAATTTAAACGTAATTATCTGAATATTTCTCAACCGCTCATTTCACGCAATCGTTTAATTCATGTATGGTATTTAAAATCTATTATTACAGTTCGCCCCGGCAGGGGGTATAAAAAAAGTTTCATACGCTATGACAACAGTGTTGCGAACGGCGCGATTAGTCGCCGAGAACTAGCTACAGGTGATCCTGGTGAAAAAGAATCTAAAGGATATGCGCCGTAGTTCATTTCGAAGTTTGCCATGTTTTACTCCGTTGCTGCAGCATGTGTCTTGATTTCAGAGCAAGCACAAAGACCGAATAATTAAAATGCTGTTAACAAACAGTATGAAGCTTTAATTTAGGTATGGCTGATTTTTACAGTTCCATTCCAACTCTCAGAAATAGGAACTTTCGTCATCGCTAAGATTTCGGTCTGTCGATCACTTTCACAATTTGCAGCACACACATCATTTTACTTTCTTTCATTCAGCTAACGGTTACGGGCTGATCTTCGTCCTAATGGCACTGGTTAGGAGTCTTCCCAATGGAGCAGTTTCCTTCTCACACAATTTGCGCTGGCCGGATCTCGATGATCCGACTGCTGCTCTCACGCTCCAGCCGTACTGGGCCACGCTGACACAATTTTCGCTGACTGAAACAAACTGAATTCTGACAGCATTACTGTTCCCATTCAAACCTGTTACGCCTGAGAATATTTGTTGATAGTGACCGCCACGCAAAAATATCTAATATCGACATGTGTTGCAAATCCATTCCGTTGTACTTTACCAGTCGTCTACCGTCTATACTCTCATTATTTTTGAGGCTTGAAAGAAGAGGCTGTTCTGCTATTTAACTTCCGACCATATCAACGAGTTCTTCACTACCTCCTAGAAAATCGCTGCTGATGAAAGCACTACTGATTAAATTCTTTGTTTTAATTTTCATCAACTCAGATGTGAACAAGACGGTCAGAGATATTCACTGGACGTTCTCAATATTTCATCGATGCTCTGTGGATTCAAACCAATCAAT